TAAATAATTAATCTCCAATTTATTTATTCACTTAATATTTTTAAGCTCCCAGCATTCTGCAGTTAGGATAAGACTTAGTAAAGATTTGACTTGAATCAAACTACTTCCCCACAGAGCCTTTCCAGGAGTTACAGGGTGTAACACATTTGAGGCTAGGTGCTGGTAGTGAGTTTTCTGTTTTATTTTTAAATGCATTTCAGGCTTTGTCTACACGGAGTAGTTGAGATGAAAAATTCTTTAATTTGAGTGTGCAGATGTTACTTTTCCTTAACCTTTTATTGGCTAACAGTATTTGTTTTGGGCTGAGACAGCAGAGTTTACACAATGCCTCTGGGCATTTTCCAGTAGCTAAAGACGGTGCTGTCAGAAAGGAAAATCCTTTAGGAGACAGTGTTTGTGGGAGTCTGAGGGTCTCCTGTCCCGAGATCTGACTGTGCCTGAATAAATTAAGTAACAGTCCTGAAGGGTGCAAGCACAACGACTGACGTGTTTCTCTTATTGGGCATATGGTGATCTTCACTGTAGCTGGCAGCTGTTCTTGAAAGTTCTGGAGTTAATCAGCACGCAGCTGGAACCTCTTAGGTGTTGGTAAGATTTATTGTGAAGAGGTGATGAAGGAATATGAGCCAAGGAGTACAAAGAAATAAGTAACTGCAAGGTTAGAGAAGCAGACTTAAAAAAAATAAATAAATAAATTTGGGGCTACAGAGATACTTGGAAAGCCTTTGTTTTACTCAGGGGAGGGAAAATATTAATAAATATTGATTTTGCAGATAAAGATTGGGAAGACATAAAAAAGATGCCCGAACATTCAACTTTAATGAAAGACTTCCGGAGAAACACGTAAGTTTGCTTTGAGTTCAGCTTTCTTAAGAAAGTGTATTTTACCTCTCCCTCCTACGCTAAATTTTTTGTAGCTCAGGTTGTTTTCTATGTAGCTGCTAAACAAGGACTATGAAATGGGTATGACTTAGATTGTGAAAAAAGAAAAGTGAAATTGTTTCATAATGGTGAACTTGGCCTGTTGAGGTGGTGTGAATGAGAAGAGTCAGCAGACAGACTGTAAATGGTGAGGTGCCAGGTGTGGAAGGGGAGATGCCAGTAAGACTCCACGCTGCTCTGAAGATTGCAAAGCAGAGTTTGTCACCTCTGTTCCCACATCTGTGGTACTGAAATGATTTTTCTGTAATAGCTGCATAAAAGGGATCTGGTAACCTTACACTGTTTCCAGGAAACAGTGGGTGTCATTGTCACGTTGGGCATCTAGGGTAGCTCATGAAGGCTGAAGAAAAGAATAGGTTTCGGGTTTGCTGTCACATTGCTAGAGTCCAATACCTGCACTTAAGACCCTACCCTGTTGCCTTCTTTCCATGCTGAGGGATTTGGGGCTGTACGGTTCTTGTACCTGCCATGCTAATGTAATCACTTAGAAACCTTATTTCAGAGCTGCTCTTCAAAAAAGTAAGTTCATGGATGTTCTTGTAGCAACCTGTACATTGCAGGAGAGTCTTAAGATGGGCTTAGTGTTTATCTCCATGTTTACTGCTATTAGAAATGTACAGAATGAAACTGTAGAGTGGTAAAGTTGCTAAAAGGCAGTTTAAATCCAAGTGATAGTTTGCTGTCTGCATGTGGGTTAAAAGCGTGCTTTTTGTGTGGATGTGATGTGTTTTCACAAGCATGTGAGGGAAAGAAAAGAGATGCATTTCTGTAGCGTCTGACTGATTTTTAAGCAATCTCTGGTGTTGGTAGTTACAGTTTTTCTCTGCTTAGTGGATTAGCAATGGAGACAAAACTGTTCTTATTAATATGTTTTGTGGCTAAGAAAGCTCCACAGTGTTGGTGATTTGCATATTAGAAATGTCACTTTTCTCCTTTTCTAGGTATACCAACTGCAGCCTTATCAAATATATGGAAAAACATAAAGTTAAACCAGATAGTAAGGCATTCCACTTGGTAAGTTCCTGCATGCATACAGAAATCAAACCCCTCATGTAAGTTACAGTTGTTCAAAGTGAGAGTTGAGCTGGTGTCAAGTACGCTGTGACTAACCTTATTTTATAAATACACCTTATTTTATAAATAAAGTTAGGAGTAACTGATACTCTGCAATCTGAGAATTGCAAACCCACTTTATCTTCTCACACTGATAAAATGATTCTGTGAATCATTCACTGGCTTAGGTTGTGTATTGAGTGTATCAGAAGTTTTCAGTTTTTGTCATGTTTAGTTTGTAATTACATCTGCAGTGTTGCTGCAACTCTTAGCCATTTTGCTGCTTTGCATACTTTTAATAACCTATTTTTTATTTTTAAAAAAATTCCTAAATGCCTAGTTTTTTACATATTCATTATTAAACTTACATCTTACAGACTTTAAAAAAAAAAAAAAACAAAACACAAAAAAAACACCCAACCCTCATGACTTGAACATGTAGTTTGAAAAATTTTAGTATGTCTTCCTGGTACACTAGTCCTTTGTAGCTGTCTTATGAAAACTTCATAGTACTCTTACAGCACTGATTTTCTCTCTAGAACATATAACCTCTTTTTATGAAGGCTCCAGTTAAAATTATACACTTGCTTAGCCCTGGAAGTGCCTGCATTATGTTGGGCCTTTTCTAGAGAACATTCAAGTCTCTAACACAAACTTGATCTATGGAGAAGAAAGAATTTAAGTATATTTAGTCTCTCTGAATGGAAATCTTTATCTTGATGTTTCCAACTCTGATTGAATGTTTTCAGGCTAGACTTACAAGGTAAATGCATTATTTTGGGTGGCAGGAGTGAGGGAAGAAAACAGGAAGCTTTTTGATCTTGGAGGTGAGAGGAATAAATTGGAGAAAAGGGAGGATGGTTAAGAGGCCTGGGTGTCGGAGGACCATGTGGCTTCTGTTGAAGTCACTGGAAGCTGTACCTTCTCTGATCAGACCCAAGGGGTTTTAAGCAGCCATCTTTTTTCTGTGCAGTACTTCTTCCTCCATATAAATTTTGGAATTTATCCTTTAGTCAGAGCAGCTCTGAGGCAATATCCTTCTTGTGACATACTGCGTGAGTGTTTTTGAATGGCGTTTCCAAGCAGATGAGTTACACTGCAACTGGTCTAAAATAAAATGTATATTCAAGGTTCAGATTAAAACCCAAAGTATCACCAGCTGAATTAAGTAATCATTGCAAGAAGTTACCTAGCAGTTGTATCATTATGCATCATTTACTTTGAAGTGTCTCTGCTCTCCAAAGGTAAAAGTTGGTGAAATACTAGAGGTGTTTACATAAGCAAGGAAACTAGTCCTCTCTGATAGAGATTTTTTTGGTTTTGAAGGATTTTTGTATCCAAGCACAATTGGAAGCTGCTGAGCAGTCTGTATGTTTGTATGTAATGCATAAAAAGTTTATGTTGATGTGTGAAAAACTGAAGTGCTCATAATTGATCCAGTTTTTACCATGTAGCTATTTATAACAGAGCTTCAAAAATACATTTTTAGTATTTCCCAGGATGTTCGTATGTTTTAGTATGACAATACATAAATAAAAAAAGATATTTGACATAGCTAGTAGATAATTCCTCATATTCCTATCAGAGCCTAAAAAATATTTCTGAAAAATTATATTACTAAGTAATTCAACAAGCAATACACAGTGAATGTGAAGTATCTGTTGAATATGATGCTTTGCGTAGGATAGGGTTGGGATATAGAAACTCATCCTTGGACTCTTAAGTGAAACAAATTGAGTGAATTTGCAGATCTTTCTCATCAGCCACCCTAGGCAGGTGTTCATAAAATTATGCAACTGCCTGCGTCAGTACTTGCCTTTTCTAACTTCATCTTCTTTGAGAATAAACATGCTGCTTGTAACCTACAGATTTGACTTGTGACATATTTGGAGTCTGAAGTTCGCAAAATTAAGCTTACGTTGCTGTACCAAAAATGTGAAAGTGGCTAAGTGTCACTGGTGGTGAATAGCTGAGAAAACTCAGTCAGTTCCACTTGTTAAAATCAGTCACACTAGATTTTCATATCATACTTAGGCAATCCGAGGTAAAAATGTTTTCCATGCAACAACCTGTATAACATGGCCAGTGACTTCATCTTCAAGTAACATAAGTGCTTTTCCCCTCCCTTGATTCCCAAACTACTTCTTTCTCACCGCTCTCCAGCCTGCTGGCTTAACAAGCTCAGGTAAAGGTGAGTAGGTCAGGCTTTGCTCTGTGTCTTGGCGGTCCATAAAAAGACTTTTCTCTGAATGAGCTAGCTGCTTCTATGATCTGTGAGTGCTCTGGTCAAACCAACAAGAATTTATCATCCGCTCTCCCAGTCTTGCAAGTTTAGAAATTGTTTTCAGTAGAACAACAGAACTAGACACAAAATAATCACATGAGAATAGCTTAAAACACTTACTACAGTGTTTTCTCTTCTCCCTGCAGTATCACAACAGAGTGATAACTGTTTGAATGTATTCAGCATTTTTGTTAAGCATGTTTGTATTTATACCAAAAAGCAGTGGTTACATTAAAATGCCAAATGAAGGAATGGTGTCCTTTACCAGGCCACTACCACTGTTCTGTCCTTGGTTGGACCTGTTGGTACTGAACAAGAGGACCAGAACAGGAGTTTGAGCATGGACCGCTGACCAAACACGCTGCTCAACTGCTCCCTCACCCGCTTGTTCCTCTTTGGACCTCTACCCATCTTCCCTCGACAAAACTGATAGCAAGAGAACAAGCTTTGTGTGATTTGGTTGGTGTCAGTCAGTGTCACTCAAGCTAAAAAGCAGGGTATTTAGTAGTATAGACGTAGCCATGTTCTGTTGTACCTCCCATAGATATGGATTGCAAGGGAAGTACTATGAAGTTTGTAGTTAATTAGCTGTAATAGAATCTTCTCAGTTTTCTGCTAACTGCTGTCTGTTGGAACAATTCACTGAGAACCAAATCCCATTTAAAAAACCCTGGTCTTTCCAAAGTAACATCTTAAAACGCTGTTCAGGTGCTGTCAAAATCGGAAGGTGCCTTAGGTTTCCACTCCTGTTGTTTGAGGCTCGGCTGAACTGCAGGTGAATGCATTGGGACGCTCCACCAGAGCCTGAACAAGTTCAGCGAATCTCTTGGTACCAGTTCTTCTGGAGATACTCTGAGATCTTGCTCTTCCACGAGCTGTTTCACAGTCCGTTTACTCTCTGCATTAGAACAGATAAAAAACCTGTTTACATCTACTATTGTAAAATATGCCAGAACTATTAATGCCAGGACTAGTAAATCCAGAGATTGTTGTCGTTGCCAAAAATGAAATGTTTTGATTTCTCAACTTGAATTAACCAGATTTTTTTCTCTCTTTACTGACATTCATGCACATGATCCCTTTTCACATGCAGAACTTGTGTTAAAATGAGACAAGATTGACTCCTTCCTGCTTTTGCAGCTTACTTTTTTTTTTCATTTTTACTTTCCTGTTTTTTTTTTTTTTCCCCTATGTACTTGTTTATGCCCTAGAAAATGGGTACACAGCTGCTACTCCTGGTTAATTGAGTGATGCTTCATCTTCCATTTGGTTACTTTGGTCCATATGAACTGTAGTGATTGTCCCGTTCATTGCTGATATATAAAGTTTACTGTATTTTTATTATGTCATTCAGCCAGGTGATCTTTCAGTTGAACAGTTTTTAAAATAGAAAATATTTGTAATAAGTGGAAGATTCACTTCTGCCACTGAACGAGGGGGCGGAATAGGCATTTTGATCCCCTGTGTGATAATGGTCACACAATCATTAAACTTTTCTTGTGGTTTCTGCTTTCTGTTGTGGATTATGATCAAGTTTGCTCACATCTTGTAACCATCTGATGGACAGATTTATAACCCAATTGCCAGAAATGATGCCAGAGTTTTGCAATGTTTTTAGATTGTGATGTTCTTCAGCATGTTGGCAATTCTTTTTCATTTTTAGCTTTCCCATTTTCTGGCTCCTGGGATTGCTTTTTGAGCTGTTTGAGAGAAGAATTGTTCTGTTTAAACTAGTATTCTACAGAGACTACATGCAGGCTCTGAGAGCTGAAATAACTTATTGTGAGTCCTTGTTGATGCTGTGAAAAACAAAAGGGGATTGATGGTGGAAATACATATTTATTATGTTCTTAACCGTGCCATTAAAACTGAAGGCTGAGGAGAGAAAATATACTTTCCTAGCTGTCCGCAGCATGGAGGTCTGCATTGTGGTTGTGTATGCTCACCTAATAGCGAGTGAAAGGAGATGACCAGTTCAGACACAGATCATGACACTGGATCTTTATAAAAAGGTGGATTTAATGCCAAGAAAAGTATGAATAACAAATGTAAAATGAACATTATTTGCATATGTAGTTTCTGCATATCTTGTTAGATCCATGATTTAACAAAAAAAAGCTATAGCTTGAAAGTGTAGCATTTCTTTAAAAGGTTGTTGTCTTTGACAATATGTCATGTGTAGTTTTGCCTTGGACACTGTATTCTATGGTGAAACATGAAGGCTCATTATTTTCCGTGTAATATCTGAAGGGTATCTCATTCTGCCTATATATGTTGCTAGTCCAGCACAGCCGTGTTCCACAAAACTGCTGGGTGGGTGGGGAGAGGTATATGCATGTACAGCAGACCTTTTCAATAGGAAACACTTGTAGAATGCATCACTGCAATTCAGTGCTAGAGTTAAATAAAATCACTCTGGTCTGCCATTCCGAAAATGGAGAAAAATCTTCAGACCCGTGGAGACGGCATGATGTTTCTAATGTGTGTTTTATTGAAAAATCACTGTTGAGATGCTGCAGTGACAAATGTATGAAGTCCAGGCAGCTTCTGAAATGTTTACATAGGTGCAAAATGAGAATGGAAGAGTAAAACCAGTACAAACAGTAAAAATGGTTTTCAGAATTATGTTTCAATCTTTAACATTGTGCTGAATTTAGGCTTCACGTGTGTTGCTGGTATTTGAAGTTACTCAAGAGGAGTTCCTGGCTATGCATCCTAAGCGTTTCTCATAGCATGTCCATCTAAGTAGCAATGTTTGTAACTCTTTTTATACACGTTTTTCACTTTGGTTAAGTCAGTTTTATTTTCTTAAATTTTTATTTGTGTATTACTTTAGGATTTTTGCTGTGCTATGTGTTACTGAAACATCTTGTATGCCATTTTTTTTAAAAGTTGGGCATCAGGCAGCAAATACCTAGTGTGCTTCTTAGCCCTCTGTTAATACTTCCCAGTGAGAGTAAGAGGTGCTTTCTCAAAGGGTAAGCTTCTGCTGAACTTTTAGTTGAACTGAGTTCAACTGTTTTGTAAAACTCTGTACTTTGCCTTGTCTTCTGCATATTTATACTTTGTGGTCATCTTCATTGTCTTTAACCAATAGAGGCATTTTGGAAAGATTTATTTTTTTTTAAAAATGTAACTGATACCCTATTCATCAGTTGTTACAAAGATAAAGGCTGCGGTCTTACTCTGATAGTGCAACAGCACCATACTTGATGTGCTGATGGAAGAGGCAACTTATTAGACTTCTCTAGACTATTTTGCATCAGGTCATGCAGAAGATCAACTAAAATTCAAAATTTTGCACAACTGCTCTTTTAAGCAGCATGTAGCACACAGATGTGTCTGAGAATCCATATTTGTCGGAATAAACAAGCACACACTGGAGTGGGTGATAAAAAGTAACCTGGCCAGGTGGGTGTTTGAACGTGTTGATTACTACTTTCTTCTGCAGCATAAAGATTTTTCTAAGGAATGTTTTCATATGACATCTTATAAATGCTATGGATGACAATGAAGATGTACTAATATGACAGTACTAAATAATGAGCAATAATGGACATGGAATCACTTTTGTTTATTAATTGCTAAGAATTATTTGAATTTAGATGGATATGATGTTCCTTTCTGTTAAGTGCAGTGTAGTTGAGGAAACATATGCATGTGAACATCTTCTTGTGGGAAGTGAACAGACCATTAAAGAGGAAAGGACTTGGGGGTACTGGTGGATGAAGGTACTGCTGGAGGAAAAGCTGGATGTGACCCAGCGCTCTGTGCTGGCAGCCCAGAAAGCCAACCGTATCCTGGGCTGCATCCGAAGCAGCGTGGCCAGCAGGTCGAGGGAGGGGATTCTGCCCCTCTGTTCCGCTCTGGTGAGACCCCCCCTGCAGTACTGCCTTCAGCTCTGGGGTCCTCAGCACAAGAAGGACATGGACCTGTTGGAGCGAGTCCAGAGGAGGCCACGGAGATGATCCGAGGGCTGGAGCACCTCTACTGTGAGGACAGGCTGAGAGAGCTGGGGTTGTTCAGCCTGGAGAAGAGAAGGCTCCGGGCAGACCTTAGAGCAGCCTTCCAGGACCTAAAGAAAGATGAGGAAAAACTTTTTAGTGGGGCCTGTAGTAATAGGACAAGGGATAATGGTTTTAAACTGGAAGAGGGAAGATTCAGATGAGATGTTAGGAAGAAATTCTTCCCGGTGAGGGTGGTGAAGCACTGGGACAGGTTGCCCAGAGAGGTGTTAGATGCCCCATCCCTGGAAACATTTGAGGACAGGCTAGACGGGGCTCTGAGCAACTTGATCGAGTTGAAGATGTCTCTGCTCGTTGCAGGGGGGTTGGACTAGATGACCTTTAAAGGTCCCTTCCAACCCAAACTATTTTATGACTCTGTGATTAAAGCTGCTGATACATTGTGGAAACTCGTTGAATGTTTCTGTTAGAACATGTGTGACTGGAACTAACGGAGTGTCCTGGGCTTTGCAAGTCAAAACAAGTGTTCTTCGATGGGAAGTGAAGTTACTCTTCTAACAAGAGAGAAGAATGTGGTTGTGCCATTTATGGCTAGGGTTTTGAGTTCAGATGCATTTGTATTGGCTCGTCTTTCAGGAATAATACAGTGAAGTTTCTGTAAAGGGTTTTGGTAATGCGGAGCTTCCTATCTTTTGTTTTTGCAGCTTCAGAAATTGCTCACTATGGATCCAATAAAGAGAATTACCTCAGAACAGGCTATGCAGGATCCCTATTTCTTAGAAGATCCTCTTCCCACATCCGAGTAAGTGGTCAGTTTATTAATCTATCAGTACATCCAGAGATGCTTTAGAAATGTGTGCTTTCTCTCCGCTATAAATATGTTTGTGAATATTGAGCTAAATACTTACTGTCTAACAGCCGAAGAAAGCTATATCCACTAAAATGCCATTTGTGGCTTTTAAAATTAAGTAGCGTTCTTATTAATCTCTTGTTTTATGGAACTTTGATCCTATTAGTCGCAGCACTAATCTTGTTACTCACTGACAGGTTGATTATGCATGCTACAGATCTTTGTAGACAACTGCTAAGTGCCCGCAGGTCTACTTCTCTGCTCCAGAATGCCAGATGACACTCTCTAATTAGTTTACATTTTTCTGTCTTAGCCTTTGTTGTAAATTCAGTGGGTGGGGGAAGTCAACTCTGTGTCTCTGTGCTGTCATCCTTAACAACTTAAATCCATTTTCTGTAGACCTCTTTTCTTTTTTTTTGTTTGCGCAGGGGGATTTACAAAAGGAAGAAAATTTAGGGACAATGAATGATTTCATTAAAAATTAAGCCCCGCTCCCAAAAGACTAGCCAGAGAGCACAATTGTACACCTTTTTAGGAAAGCTATTAGTACATCCTGTGTATGATTCTCTACCATTATCTAGGGAAGAATTTGTAAAATATGGTATGTATATTTATAAGCGATTAATTAAAAATGAAATTATTTCGCTAAAACCTCTACTGCATTATTTATAACAGCTCCTGACCTGTCTCTGTGATTCAGTGTTGTCATGTGAATGATTTTCTCTCGCAGAAGCTGCTTTTAGGACAACGTTTGGCTTTTTTTCTCAGCTATAGATTGGCGTTTTAATGTGAATACACAATGAGCAATGCTAACAGTTGTACAGAGACTTTATTATAAATACGTTCTACTGATTGAGGGCAGGTAAATATTAGCTTGTGCTAGAAGTAGCAAATTCACGTGGACCATGAGATATGAATTCACAGATGAAATTTCTAGTTACTTTTAAACTTTGTTCCGGGTGGTTTTATTGATAGTCAGTGGAGTTTCCAGGAGTATTTTTAGTTTGTCCTGAGATTGTGAATTACACGATAGCTGGATTAAGATAGCTCTTTGTGCCCTTGCAGATATCTAACAGGTGCTGTACCTTTCCAGCCACCAGTTTGGTCACCAGTTACCAGAAACTGTGAAAACTATTAGGACTTTAAATGAGTGTATAAGATGGAACCGAAGATTAAAAATAAATGTGAATAGGTTTGCTAAGTTTAGAATATGATGAAAGCAAGACAGGGAAAACTTCTCCACTAGTTACAGGCATTAGGCTGTGGCTTAGGCAACTTGAAACTAGCATGGGTGAAGTATGAATCTTAGAGGTCTAACCCTTCTGTTCTAATGCAGTGATAAATAGACTCTTTTGGGGGGCAGTGTTTTTGCAGGTTGTCAAATCCCTTACCCAAAACGAGAATTTTTAACAGAAGAAGAACCAGATGATAAAGGAGACAAAGTAAGTACTGGAAGAACAGTATCATCATGCTTCACTGGCTTTCACACTATTTCCTGTTTTCATGTTATTTCACGTACTGCTTTTGAGTTGAAATTTTTCTTTGTGTTTAAACAATTGAGAAGAACCAGCAGCAGCAGCAGGGCAATAACCATACTAATGGAACTGGTCATCCAGGGAACCAAGACAACAGTCACACGCAGGGACCCCCACTGAAAAAAGTGAGAGTTGTTCCTCCTACCACTACCTCAGGTGGACTTATTATGACCTCAGACTATCAGGTATTTGTTTTATTCATATATTGTGTATTTGGTTCTCATGCTTACAGCAGTGTTTCTTTAACCTGAAAAAGTAATTTTGTAAGTGTCACTGTATTAACTGGTATTCTTTGGCATCTTTCAGTTGTTTTTTAGACACGTTTAGTGGACGGTTTGCTTGTAAATCGATATGCTGATGCTCTTTAGCAGTAAGGAAATTAGGATCAGAGGTTATTACAGTTACTAATTTATTACCTTCATATTAGGGAATTCTGATGGTGGACCAGGAGCCTGTTGTGCTGCCCTCAGTATCACTAAAAATACCATTCCTTATTTGAACAAGGCTGTAATGGTGGGAGGCAGAGGATATTGCGGTAAACAAGCTGTGAAACAAGAGTCTGAACAAGAGTTTCAGTTGGGCAAATGGGTGGGAAAGCAGTATTTTGGATGGCAAACAGAAAGACTGGACTTATGATGCTGTCATAATCTCTGTTTTGAAGACCAAAGGAGGTTCCAGGTTGAGTAAGCCCAGTATTACAGATCTGAAGAGACAGGTGAGGTGGTGGCGATCAATGAGTGAGGAAGACGAGGAGGAGTGTAGGAAAAAAAGCTTGAAGAAAACTTGAAAACTGTGTTCTAGCCTTTCTGCACTTGAGCTTGTGGTCAGACATTAGGAAATCAGAAGAGTCTGGAGCAGAAAAATGTCTGAGAGTCATCCCAGGGAATGATACCTGAATTTGTGGGTTTGGATGAGGTTACTCCTGGAGACTGGGGTGAAGAGAGTTGAGGACAGAACCTTTAGTTAACGCAAGCTAAGAAATTACAGAAGAGGAGCAAGGAAGACTTCAAATGATGTGCATAGGAGCAGTTAGGTGGCGGATTTTGGAAACCTAGGGAATAGAAGATTTCAACAGGAGGCAAGCTGGTGGAAACGTTAGCCTGCAGGAACTGTTACATACTGGTTCACATGGGAGGCATAGTACAGAAGGCCAACTGGAAGAGTCTTAGATGAAATCAAAAAATGGGGAAGTCAGAAATTGCTGGTAGTGTGTGCAGTTGATTTGAAGACTAATATCTAAATCTGAGACCCTAATATTTGAAACGCGCTTAGCTGTACTTACTTTCTGTAGCAAAACTTAGTGAGAGTTAAAGAATGGTGTCAGTAAAACTACTGCTGTCCACTTGCTTTTCACAGTTTGATACTATTTTTCCATAAACACCAGTGGGCTTTGAAATCTTGCATTTCAGAGTTTGTTCCTGAGAGTACCAGATATCCTCAAAGGCTGCCTGCAGGCATTACCCTCATCCTTATATAAATCTGTATACTCCCAGCATTGGCCAAAACTTGAAAGTACTACAAATATGTAAAATAAGGTCATTTTCAGGAGCTTTATCGTGAGACCCTTCATACAGTCCCCAAATGCCTTTGCTCAGCTGATGCCAAGACATCGATAGCATGTTGGTTTTCAAGTCATTCTCCTTGAACGATGTAAATTTTTAGAGCCGTTTGAAACAGCGGTCAGCCTTAACTTCAGCGCTGCCGTGTAGGGTGCCTGTAAGTATAAACGTTGTCTTTCTTTTAGTCGGATTGTGCATCTCAGAGCATCCCTTACAGGAGCTTCATTCCTTTCAGTTTGGCGAGCTGCAGTCAACCGCTGTTTTGGCCTTTTAGCTGGCGCTTTCTACCATGTCGGGGGGTGTGTGTTTTAGGAAGGCAAATGCTGCTGAAACTCTCTTAATCTTCCCCTCATGTTGAGTCAGATATCTGAGGAGATTGATGCAGAGGTAGTATGTTCTGTGTCAGGGAGCCCCGGTTACCCTGTTTACCCCACACCCTTCACCTCATTTCGCTGCTGCAGCTTGGCATTTTGAACAAACTTCAGCTTCCACTTCTGTGAGCAAGAGCGGAGGTTTACTAGTTGAGAAGTCAGAAGACTCAAATTGCAGGAGTTGACGTTGGTTTGTTTTCAGCTCACGCTCATCAAAACTTTTGTACTCTCAGGTATCCATCCCAGGATTATAGCTGGGGGCAGCCCTTGTCAACAGTTTCAGAATACTTTTGCCTTGACGTAGTGATAACTGCTACTTTGCTGTCTCTGGAACTCTTATTGGTAACTTGCTCCTGACTAACCTTTTTTCTGTCACTCTAGGAGACAAAACACCTGGTTTTCAAAAAAACTATAAATATCTTTCCCCCCCCACCCCCAGTCTTTCAAGAAGGCAGTGGGTAGACTTGTTCTGATTAAGGTGTCTGGAAAACCTGATAATCAAAGGGAGGAGACCTGAACTTGCTGGCACTAGAACAAAAGCAGTTAAAGTGACCTGTTGGTGGTTTCAGGTCTCCCGGAAAAAAATTCCTCACATTTTTTGCTTCTGATCCTGCAACTTGAGGAGACAGCAAACAAATATTACAATACAGCCCTCTGTTTTAATCAAACACCTGTTCCTTTGTTCTTCATTTAATTTGCTCCAATTCCCCATATAAGCCTTGTGAAGAAGGATTGCCATCTCCTGGGCAAGGCACACTAAGACAGTTTCTCCATCCACTCAGAAGTCAAATTACTCTCTGCAGAGCGAGTTGACCTTGTTTCCTTTCCTGCCATGCATAAAAATAGTAGATACATAGCACACAGACTTCCTTGCCTTCTCGTTTAAATCTGCAATGTGATTAAACAGGCTGGAGCAGTTCCACTACTCTGAGCTTTTGCTTGTGATAACCCTCTGGGTGCTTAATGCTATTTAGAAAGGATTCAGTATTTACATTTGTTCTTAAACAAAAGCCATTTGTTGCGCTGGGTGCCATGAAAGAATCTGATGATCTTTAATTGCCTCTGTCTTAAAATAAGGTCTGTTTTAGAAGTCAGGATACAGAAAGTGTTGACAACTGACATGAATGGTCAGTTTTTAAATGGTTAAACTTGTGATAGTCTCCTCTGTACAGGAGCCACGCTTGGGCAAAAAGAATATTCAGAGATTTTTGTTCTCTTAAGTATAGCCTGTGTTTGTTATGTGGAGAAGGGTGACCCAGAGCTGTGACACTTCTGTTGACGAGTGACTTAGTCCATCTCTCAAGATGGAAGGCAAATGTCACAAAAGTTCAGTCACTGTGTTAACAGTGGGGTTCAGCCGTGCTGGTTTGTTCCCGCTGGCATGAAGTGCTGGTCCAGCCATTTCTTCTACTTGAAGCTCTACGCCCCTAGAGAATTAGCTCAGTCCTGTGAGCACATGTTCACAAGTAGAGTTTGTCTTTTCTTCTCTGCCATCAGCTCAGCATCCTGATGATAGCTTCCATTCTAAATGCTGAACGGCAGGGAAAAATTGAGTTGTTATTTATTATTTTATGTTGCGACTTATGAAATCTGTAAAGCTCTTTTAATATTTTACTTTTTCAGGGTGTTGGTTCACCATAGTTTTGTGTATTCAGGTCTCAGTAGCAAGGCCCTAGTCCTGGAATATTCACCTTAGAGAAGTTTCCAGACCTTTACTAGAAGCAGCTTTTTCTAAAAGTCCTAATGCATCTTGTTATATCAAGAGTTGAGAAGTTACACAGCGGTTTCTAAACGCTGCAAAATTTGTATGTGTAAACCTCAACGTAAATGTAAAACAGCGCAGTAATGTACTGAAATCGTGTTAATTTAGTGAAATGTTAAATGCTACTGAGTGGTTGTATGCTTAGATTGAAAAGCTCACATGCAGTCCTTTTTTCCTTTATAACGCACGATGTGTAAATCACTGACTTCTAGGCTGAAATTGAAGTAGGCAGTTGCTGGTTTGCTCAAAACTTCTTGCAACGATGAATGCTCCGCTCAGTAAATAACTGTAGAGATGCTGGTTGAAAGAGGCCTCTGGAGACCGTCTAGCCCAGTCTCCCACTTGAAGCAGGACTGGTGCTAATGCTAAGTCAGGTCAACCATGACTTTGTTTAGTTGAGTCTTCAGAACCTCCATAGATGGAGACTTCACAACCTCTCTGGACAAGTTCTTCTAGTGCTATACTGGTCTCTTAGTGATTTTTTTTTTTAATTATTTTATTTTTCCCCCCTAATGACCAACCTGAACCTCCCAAGCCACAATCTGTGGCCATTTCCCCCTGCAACGTCTGGTTCCACCGAGAAGCGTGGGGCTGTTGTCTTTAACTCTCCCTCAAGTATTTGTAAGGCTGCTGCTAGATGACACCTTAGCCTAAATAGTCACAGCGCTCTCAGCCTTTACTCCTAGGTCACACAAAAGGGTGGCGAGCATACCCTTTGTATAGGAAAATCTCCAGGATAATGCAGAGGGGCTCATCGGCAGTCAGGTGTGCCGTTTGGACCTCTACCCCAGCGTACCTTCTCGGCAGGGGAAGGGAGCAAGTGGAGAAGACGGCTGCC